TACACTCAATCTATCCAAAATGTCGAAAAACCCAGCAAATTATCCATCCAGTCAGCAGATTAAGCATTTTATTAAACTCTACTTCTACTGTAAAATTGCCTATACAGAAAAAAGCCAGTTGTCTACCAATCAGTGAGCTATCCCAGCAGTGCCTAGATCCTTGTCGGACATTTCAGTCCCTGTTTTCAGTCTTGTATAAACAGAACCTTAGAGCAAGGTGTCGATGCGCTATCTTTAGCTAACCCATAGTGCTCTGGGAATCCTTTGCCATGAATTGAATTAGTGTTTTTAAAACCTAGATTGTGTGTTTGGGTCTCTCTAATCGAAGTATATAATAGTTTACTATTAAACTAATCCGATTAATATTTTACTTTTTTACTCTTGTAGGGTCTTGCCTTTTTTAGATGAATTGTGAAGTGTCAGAATGAGACCATCTGGTAGAACCCCACCATCCCGACGAAAATCCAAGACTCCAAAGAGAGTGACGCCACCTCCACCATCCCCAAGTAAGGAGGGGTCTATACTATATGTACATTATATGAAAGCTTACACAGGGTTAGGACTCCAAGTTCCAATAGAGAAATGGAGTTGTACAGGATGCCCTGGGGGGGGGGGGGTCTGTATCAGTGGGTGAAGATGTGGTGGTTTTTTTTGTTTTGGTTTTTTTTTTATTTTTTTTTTCTTACAAGAGAACTTGTCACTTTGCTCATTCAAGACAGTCCCTTTGAAGCTAAACTATAAAAGGCTAAATTTGCTGTAAGTATGTGCAAAAACGGTTCTACCTGCCAAAAGATTTGTAGTTGTTTTCTAGCCTTGTGGTCCATGCTCCACTGCCTGTATTGTATTTTTTGTAACCTTATGAAAGCTGAAAATGATGGGAGGAGATGCTGAAGAGTGCCCCCTGGAGTTGCTGCTTTGTGAATTCTTGAGTCTGTAGGCACAGGATTGCCCGGGCTCAGTCACATGCCAGGAAGTACACTATTTTTTAGGAGTGATTCCAGGTATATTTTTCAGAATGACAATCTGGGATAGAGAACCTTTCTAGATGTTCCCTACAAGACAGCAAATGTTTGCTCTTTAAAGTCAGATCCATGTTAACCAGTTGCAGACATTGGGCAGGCTATGTATGTACAAAAGAACTTCTCCCAAGGTACACAGTGGGGTTGATGTACTTACTGGAGAGCCCAAAATCTAGTGCAGTTTTGCACAGTAACCATCATCTTCCATGTTTTTTTTTTTTTTTTTTCTTTTTTTTTTTTTTTTTTTGGTAAAGCTTAAATGAACAAGCTGACGTTAGAAACTGTCTGGCTACTATGTAGAGCTGCACCAGATTTTACACTGTCTGATTTTAGTAAATCAACCCCAATAAATATATATATAGTGTATGTCCATCTACCCCCTGCTTGCACACTTTTTACCGCTGTTTTGCATTACAGCCATGACTTGCTGGGTAAAGTGTTTGGTGTGTGTTTGTTTATTTGAAAAAAAAAAAAACTTTCACAACTTTTTAAACTTTTGTTTAACACAAATCACCCCTAAGTAACAGTAGTTTTAAGTGTATGTCCGGGCAAAAAACCACATGCATTTTCTTCTATCTTTAAACCCTTTTATCCACTCCAGCCCCAGAAAGTTCACCCCCCCCCCCCCCCCCCCTTCCTGACCAGGCCATTTTTTGCTATTCGACACTGCGCTATTTCAACTGGTAATTACGCAGTCATGGTATTTGATCACCATCCGGTTTATTTTTTCTGATATAAATGAAAAAAGACTGAACATTAAAAAAAAAAAAAAAAAAAAAAAAAACAAAAATTATGTTCTACTTTTTTGTTCTAAGAAAAGTATCCAATAATCTCAAGTTTAGTCATAAATTTTGGACAAAATGTATTCTGCTACATGTCGTTGGTACAAAAAATTCCAATACGTAAAAATTAGTTTGTGTGAAAGTTATGGCATCTACAAACTATTATATATAGGAATTTACGCAGCTTTTACTTTGACTGCCTATCATTCTTGAGGTGCTAAAATACCAGGGCAGTACAAAAAAAAAAAAAAAAACCCCAAATGACTCCTTTTTGGAAAGTAGACACCCCAAGCAATTTGTTGAGAGGAATGTTGAGTCCATGGAAGATTTTTATTTTTTTTATGCAAAGTTGTCACTTAAATGATATGTTGCTCACACATGCCATGGGTATATGTGGAATTACAACCCAAAAGATACAGGCCCTCAAAATCCAATGAACACCTCCAGGCTTTCAAAGGGCGTATTTTTTCATGTCACTTCCTCACTGCCTATCACCATTTCAAAGGCCCTAAAATGCCAGGAACACGAACACACGAACACGAACACACACACACACACGTCATCTTTTTTGTCACAAGGGTTAGAAAAAGAAAAAATACATTTTCATTTTCCAAAGCCTTGTGGCAACAAATCAGATCTGCAAAATACTCCCCATGCAGTGGGTGTTGCAATTTTTTTGTCACACAGTATTTGCGCAGCGATTTTTCAAACGCACATTTTTTTTAAGAACTACACTTTTTGAATTGTCTGTACTGCATGTCATGGGGCCCTGTCATGTCTGTACTGCATGTCACCAAATAGGGTTTTTTTTTTCTTTTTTTTTTGTGCATATGATGTTCCTTTTGAATACTGTTTTTTTTTTTTTTTTTTTTTTTTTTTTATTCTTCTGTTCACATCATGAATCGCACAGGAATGTGCTGGGCATGCTTGTGCGATTCACGTGTAGGGATTAATTTGAATGGGCTGAAATTGCACCGAATCGCATTGAAAGTAGCGCACACACTTTTGATGCGCAGGAACCACATCGCATGGTACTGTACAGTACAAATGTGGCACGTTTGCAACCTGCATTTGGGCTGGCATTAAGGCTCAGTTCACATCTGTGCGGGTGGTGCCGCTGCGGATCTGCACAAAAATCCGTGCACCCGCACAGAGGATTGCGGACCCAAGGGCGGGCGCCAGTAATTCTAATGGCACGCCGCCCGCACTGGAAATCGCAACCGTACTAGGAACCGATATTCCTGTGCGGGCTGCGTTTTCAGAAGAAGTGCAGGGAATTTTCCCCTGCGTGTCCCGGGGCACGGGAGTCTATTGAAATGAATGGGATCCCGTGCCCGCGCAAAAACGCGGACCGCAGGAATGCAGATATGTGAACCAGGGGTAAGTTGCTCCCTTGTCTCCTCCTCCCATGCTCGTCTCTAGGACTTCTCCAGAGCTTCCCCGATCCTCTGGAACTCTCTACCCTAATTTATCAGACTATCTCCTACTCTGCTCACTTTTAGGCAATTTCTGAAAACCTATCTCTTCAGGGAAGCCTATCCTGCCCTCAGCTAATAATGGAATCTTTTTATTCTTCCAACCAGTCCATCCCCCACAGTTTTTTCTACCTTTTGTACCACTAGCCCCTCCCTCTTAGATTGTAAGCTCCAAGGAGCAGGACCCTCCTATCCCTCTTGTATTGTTGCTGTATTGTTATATTGTGCTGAGCAAACTGTTGGCGCTATATAAATCCTGAATAATAATAATTGTAATGCATAAAAACACACATCCTATTGCCTGATTGTTTGATAAAGTATAAAAGATGATATGTCGAGTAAATAGATACCAAACATGACTTATCACCAGTGCAATTATTACAGTAGTACAGTGATAGTGTATATTATTATCAAAGACATTGCCTGGGAAGGGGTTAAGGTCTAGGCTGATCAAGGGGTTAAATATGAGAAGTCTGCATAGAGCACACTCATGGCATGCCATTCAATTGGCAAAGTTTAGCAATCATAGCATTACATAAAGTCAGTATTTGTTGTATGCAATGTAAAACTATATGAACCAGACATTTACTCCATCATGCAACACTGTACTCAAATGCATTTTTTTTTTTTTTCTTAGTAGTATTTTTTTTCTTTACCATATATGGGAAAAATACCACATTTTTGAGGCCCTAAAGTACCAGGACAGTACAAACGCCCTCAAAAATGTTTAATTTAGAACATTCTGTATGTAGTGCAGCAGTCCACGTTCAAGGGTCAGGACTATGTACTGCACAGAACAGGTTGCAGATTTCGGGTATCAACAGTTCATGCTTCTTTGTGGGGGTTGGTGGTGGGTGCACCTTTCAAATGTTGAGGTTCAATGATGTTTGCATAATTCTTCTGTAGTCCAAGATAAAAACTAGAAGGGCTGATTAGACTTCTTGAGATAACAACACAGGAAGTGTGCACGGGAAAGCTTTGAATTTCTGACCTGATCAATGGGTATGTTTTTTGTATTCGTCAAACTGATCTAATACAGTGTTTGTGATGGTATGCTTAACAGACCAAACGAGAGAAAATAAGAACATTTCATTGCTAGGCATTACATACACTTCAAGTCTCTTAGTGTTTTTAAACCCATGACCCTGCATTCCCTATATCCGGTCTCCCCGGACCCTGCATTCCCTATATCCGTTCTCCCTGGACCCTGCATTCCCTATATCTGGTCTCCCACAGTACACACAACTTGGAAATGCAATTATTTTAGTAAATATCTCAGCAGTATATGGCAGTCTTGAAACTTCTATCAGTGTCCGGCTGAGCACTGGTTAATCCTTGTAGGAGTTGTCCTTCTCCTCTGACTGTCCTATGAGGCTGCACGACCCCTGACCCTTTGTCTGGACTGTGCTGATTGCCCCTGTGCTGATCACATGCACCCTTAGAAATAACACACAAAAAACTCTAGCAATCCACAAAACAGAGCATGTGCAAACTTGCCACCGCTGCTCTGTACTATGACAGATGGATTGGGGACTGTGGAAGAAAGGTAGGATCAAAGAAGACAGGATAAAGAAGCCTTTTTACACAGTGTGGAGGATTAACCCCTTAGGTTCCACAGTGAGTATAACAAGCACGCTTTACTGCATAGACTGATTTTATTGTTGTGGGTTTAGTGATACTTTAAAATAAAAAAGGATCTTAGTAATTTGATAGTTTTACAATGCAGGACCAGGACCAAGCAGAGAAGTTGCCTCTCCAGCACGGGAGAGGTCATTCCTCAGACGCAAACTAAAGCACCGTTATCGGCCTGGGACACGAGCACTCATGGAGATAAGAAAATATCAAAAGTCAACGGACCTGTTAATAAGAAAAGCCCCCTTTGCCAGACTGGTGAGTGTGGTGTTGTTGGTTTATTGGCTCTGGACAGGGAGCTATAAATAAGGCGGGTAATATGCATAGAAAACATTCTTGTATGGTTATTTTAGGTCCCGCTCAAATCTAGTGATTTGGGATCATGGGTGGAATTGCCGTGATTCCTAATCACACTGCAATGCTGACCAAACGCAGCGCTCGTGTTTGTGTACCATTCATTTTTAATGGCACCTAAAATGAGGTGCGTATGGGAATCCACATCATTGAAAGCTTGCTGCCCAAAAGAAGCTCCCGCTCCTTTCTTGGCCAACAAGCTTTGTGCGATGTAGTTTGCTGCGACTGCAGTGCCACAATTGTGACAAAACAGCACCACGTTTAAGATGCCATTAAAATGAATGGTACACACAGGGTGGATAAAAATCAATGATTTAAAAAAAAAAAAAAAAAAAAAAAAAAATCCGATTTATTTTTTTTTTTTTTTTTTTTTTTTTTTTTTTTAAATTTAAATCGGATTTTTTTTAAATAAAATGCTTTTTGAGGAAAATATATTACCATCCAAAGGTTATTCCATCATGAAATAAAGATTAGTTTTTTAATTATGTAGAATAAGGCTGTATATGTTTAATTTTTTTTGGTAAATAAATTCCATGCATCCATTCACAATGTCATGCTCTTCCAGAGGTTTTTGTAAGATTATTGGGCAGTTTCTCTGCCTACAAGATACTATCACAGATGCTCGGTTTACTTTTGCAGTTCTCAAAACTGAATTTGACTCGGCGGAGATCACATGCCTCTTCTTCACAGCAAAAATGTTATAACATGAACAGAGTTAAGAAAAAGACCTTCATCCTAACTTCTACAAACCTATGAATACACAATCAACCCCTTCAGTGCTAAGTTTCAAGAAGTTCAGTGAATAGAATAGAAACAATATTTTTCTGATTGTTTGGAGTGGAATAGATCTGCACAAGAAGAAAGTGAAACTAAGTGTGAGGAGGAAGGGGCTGACAGTCTACGTCTCTTAAAATATATATATTCTGTTTAGCCAAATTAGTTAACAAACATGGATGTTTGTTTAAGCAAATCACATATGCTGGAATGTTATTGTTTCAGATGAATAAATCTATTTAAATTGTTATTATTAAGGTAATGATTATTTTTCTCCTTCCTAAGTACAACAGAAAAGTTGTCCAAATATGAATGATTAAACTGGGGATAAAAAAAACTAATATGAAAAGTTGTTGTTCTAAAAATCTTCATCTACTTGCATATTAAAGTTATACCAGCAAGAATTAGTCTATGTAGAAAACTAGGATTTAAATCAAGCCTTACTGACTAGTGATTTAAATCGTGATTTAAATCAGTTTGATTTAAATGAAACCACCTTGGGTACACAAACATGCTTGCTGCGTTTTGCCAGCATTGCAGTGTGATTTGGAATCGTGGGCAGAATCGCGGAAATTCTGTCCTCAATCCCAAAGCGCTAGATGTGAACAGGCCTTAGTTTTTGGTATCATGACTCGGGTCATCAGCTCCACCTTTTGGATACTCAGGCAGCGAGATCTCTCTCATCTCTGCCGTAATTCAATTACTGTCCACCTTGGTATATTATTTTGCCCTGTAGAACATGCTGCATTTTTTCTGCACAGAACTGTACTGGAACATGGTAAAACTCATCAAATTGAAGAAAGGGGAAAAAATTTACTGGAATGCATAAAAATGTACCAGAACCCATCAAAAACACACACACGCGGAAACGCAGCCGGACTGCGTTTCTATAGTGCGACCCGGCCCTAAAACCAAGCACCCCATGCATGAAAGAACCTATAACAAAATATAAAGGGCACATCAATTAAAATCACAGTGCAGGCCATAAATCTGTCTCTCTAACAACCCCAATAGTGTATTATATTTGCACAATATCACAAGCAGTGAAGCAGTGCTCTAACCCCGGGCACATGGACACACACTCGTATGTATTACACAATTTTGGGTGTTCAAACTTATATTACTAATAGAACTTGCTTACAAAATTTGAAGCGTTGTGCCATCTTGCTTGTAACATTGTGCAAATACCCTGGGGGATCACTAGTGAGACCAAGATCAATGGTGATTATATTGTGCAGGGCCCTGCAATGTGGCTTGAAATGTTTTTTAAATCGTGCTCTGTGTGAAGTATAGCATGTCCTTTTGAGATCATTTATTATGTTTTCTTCCTTCTACGAGGCCTCTCGGTTTAAAGACCATTTCTATACAGACATTATAACTGTAACATGCTGGTTTAACCATATTCTATAGTGTGTGTAGGGCCGTGGATATGGGTGTACCACCAGTCCTGTACAGGGCGGGGCCCAGGCAACTAGGTGAATGGGATGTGGGCAGGAAGGGTGATCAGCACAGCATGGGGGGCAATTACTGGAACCGATCCCCTGTATGGCTCTTTCTGCAGCAGCTTAAAGCTGGCTTCTTCTCCTCTCCCTCCCGTTGGCTTTCAGCTGCTGTAGAGAGAGTTATACAGGGGATCGGTTCCAGTAATTGCCTCTCCACCACATCCATCTCCCTCCCTGTGCACCATAAGTTTCCCCCTGCTGCCCAAGCCCCCCTGTGTCTCCCCCACCCCCACAGTGCTGCCAGCTTCCCTCCTCTTCTTCCCACTGCCAGCTGCAAGCCCACAATAGGATCCTTCAGGAGGGGGAAGGGTCCGCTAAATATGTCACATTTACCAGCCCCATTCCTTTCCTGAATGAACACAATGAGTGATCGGTACTGATCACTCCCTGTGTTCATTAACAACTGATGCATAGTAAACAGACTTTTTTTGGAGGGGTGGTGGTGGCTGTCAGGTTGTATAGGGCCCCCGTGGTTTCTAACAGCGTGTGTGTGTGTGTGTGTGTGTGTGTGTGTGTGTGTGTGTGTCTCAGTCTCACTCTCACCAGAAGTGTCGGTAAACCCATCAGATACTGTTCAGTGTATGCAGTGCTGGGACAACATCATCTAATGACCAAGGCTAAGATACCAAATGGTGCCCCCCCTCAAATGTATGAGCATTGTTTGTCAGAAAAGTCACCTTCCAAGAATCGTCAGTTTCTGGTACCTTCAATGACCAGGGCATGCGATTAGCGATCGCTCAACCTACTTAAACTAATGACAGGCTGACAGCGGCCACTGCTTATTTGCATGTAGCCACATACAGAGTGGTTTGCTGCAGTTAAGGACAGATGTCCAAACCTGGATACGAGTAACCACAGCTTGCTGCTCTGCGTGCGGCTACATGTGAACAGCAGCGCCTGCTGTCAGCCTGCCATTGGTTTAAAGAGGCAGCCGTTGCTATTCACATGCCCCAGTCATTGCAGCAACAGGGATCTGTAACCTGCCACGTAAAGGAGGCCTTATCCAGCAATCATATTTATTTATTTATTTATTTATTTTTATTTATTTATTTATTTTCAGACCGCCATTTAGCATGGTCACATGATTCAGCAAACTTTGCACCACACTGCCAGATCGGGTGGAGCTATAGCCATCCTGCGACAATAGCTACACACCTCTCTGTAGGAAGTCCCCTAGTTTTGCTTGGACTGCACAGAACTAATTGGCGTGGTTGTGGTCAAGTAATAGCAGAGGCGCAAAAAAAAACCACTGTATTTCATAGAATAGTTTAAAATAAAACTAATGGAAACCATTTATATTGTACCCGAACCGAACATGAAAACGTTTATATGGTTAAATATTGATCATGTTTACACTGGCTAGCAGGATAGAGAGCTGTCACCCTGGTGGGGCTGCCCCACATGCCGATTTATAGAAGGGGTTCATGTATACGGGATGTTTTGGAAAACACTTCTGAATGATGGAAACTGACTGCTGGAAAACGTAGTTTAAAAAACATCTGTTTAGCCGCGTTTAAAAAAAACGCTTATAAATGCGGTATGCAAAGATAACATCAGGAGGCCTTCCCAAATGCCCAGAATGCACTGAAAAACAGTAAACATTTAACTATTTCAGACATTTTGAAAGAAATAGAGAGAGCAGAAGCAGAGAGAACAGTATGTGTTCAGATAACCTGTCTTTTTTTGGTTTATTTCACTCTGGATCCCATCATGAACATAATTCAGCACGTTCTACCATTTTTTTTTTTTTTTTTTTTTTTTTTTCCTTCACGTGAAACCTGCAACTGACTGCGCTGGTGTACCGGGTCCATTTGAATACATGGGAAAAAGCTTTGCATGCATTTCTGATGATGACAAAGGGCTCTGGACAGCATCTGGACATGGAACAGTTAAATGCATACGCCTATGTGTTTACAAATGTTTGGCGTTTGAAACGCTGTTAAAATCTACTCCTGAATGCAAGTTTGGTGCGTTCAAACAAACGACTGTAAATGACGATGTGTACATGGACACATAGGAAAACATTAGGGAGAGTTCAGGGGCTGCTGAAAAAACACAGAAAAGCTCCTGAACGTGAGTTTATCAGCTGCAGTGTACATGAGCCCTAAAGAGTTACATGAGGCAGCTTCCAGGGAAGATAGAAGGAAGTTAATGGCTTCCTAAAAGGGAACTAGCAGAGAATGGATAGTGTGAGTGGCAACAAGCAGAGGATCGTCTTCTATAGTGATGCCACTCAGCATAAGGAAGTCTATTGAAGCCGCAGGATCAGGGTATTTGGCTACAAAACCTTTACATCATGCATTTTTTCATAGTAATAGACTTTTTAGTTAATGAAGATCGAGAGAGGCTCCTGAGAAGTCCTGGATGTGATAGTGTAGGGAGAGGGTTCTTCCTGGAATGGTATCTAGAGATCAGCCTGGAAATGAGTGGAGTGGGCGGAGGGAAAGTTTTTTTTGTTCATTTCCTTTGCTGTTTTGTATCTGGATCATGTGTATGTATTGGTTGTATTTATTTAAATTTATGTTTTATGCTTGTGCAGGTGCGAGAAGTCTGCATGGAATATACTCGTGGCATGCCGTTCATGTGGCAAAGCTTAGCAATCCTGGCATTACAAGAGGTCAGTATTTGTTGTATGCAATGCAGAACTTTAGAATCCAACCAGCCAGTATCTATCTATTTTTTGGGTATTCAGTGGTGTGACAATTACTCCTTCATGCAACACTGTACTCAAATTTAATTTTACATCTTTTTTTTTTTTTCTTTACAGCATAAAGGAAAAATAGCAAAAATTTTGAAACAAAAATGTATGCTTATCACATTTTTTGAGGCCCTAAAGTGCTGGGATAGTGCAAATACCCCAAAAATTGTTTAGGACATATATAGTGCAGCAAAGGTTAGGGGTCAGGACTATAGTGCACCAAACAGCTTGCAGATTTCAGTGGTCAGCAGTAAATGCATCTTTAACCACTTCCCGACCGGCCGTTGTATATAAACGGCCGGACGGTGGCAGTGCAGGGTCGGGTGGCCATTTATGAACGGCCTCCCCGCACCCTGCTTGTGCGCGCTCCCTGGGAGTGCGCAGCACCGCGATCCGGCGCCCACTATGTCCTCCGGACACAGTGAAACACCGATTGTCGGACGGGACCTCTGTACGAGGTCCCGATCATGTGATCACTGATTGGCCAATCAGTGATCACATGCAAAGTAGTAAGCAAGATGTCACTTGTGACATCATTGCTTACTACGTGTGAAATCTGTGAATGATCACAGAGGTCACATGGTACAAGGCTATTCACAACAGTCTTGTACCATGTGACAAGCTGTGAACAATCACAGCTCACTCAGTACTTCTCAATGACTGCAAGAATGCAGACAGAGAGAGGAAATGATTGCTTTTACTTCCTATATGGGTGTAAAAGCAATCAGTGTAAAAAAAAAAAAAAAAATCTTCATCACCCCCCACAAGTAGTACAGTGTCACCATGGTGACATTGTACTGCTAGGGTGACAGTATGTAAAAAATAAATATATAAAAATGTAAAACAAAAAGGTTTAAAAATTATAATTTTTGGTTATAAACTAACTTGGATTTTTTTTTTTTTAACGGAATACATTTTGGCCAAGATTTATGATGAAATATTATTTATTTGCAAAATTTTATTTAAAAAAAACAAACTTTTTTTAAAAAATTTTGGACTTTCATTTACATAGCAAAAAAAATTAAAATCCCAGCGGTGAATAAATACCACCAAAATAAAGCTTTATCTGTCTCAAAAAAATGGTAAAAAATGTATTTGGGTACAGTGTTGTCATTCAAAGTGTGATAGTGCTGAAAGCTGAAAATTGCCCTGGTCAGGAAGGGGGTAAAAGTGTCCGGTCTGGAAGTGGTTAAAGTACACTGCTCAAAACAATTAAAGGAACACTTTGAAAACACATCAGTGGGGAAAAACCTCTGCTGGATATCTATACTGACATGGGACTGGGTAATGTGTTAGGAACGTAAGGATGCCCCATCGTTTGATGAAAATGATCAACCTACAGAGGACTGAATTCAAAGACACCCCGAAAAGCAAAGTGAAAAAATGATGCAGCAGGCTAGTCCATTTTGCGGAAATTTCATTGCAGGAACTCAAAATTGTCCTCAGTAGTATAGCCACCCCCCCCCCCCCCCGTGCTTGTATGCATGCCTGATAACATCGGGGCACGCTCCAGTGAGATGATGGATGGTGTCCTGGGGTATTTCCCCCCAGATCTGGACCAGGGCATCACTGAGCACCTGAACAGTCTGATGTGCAACCTGGCGGCGTCAGATGGACCGAAACATGATAAACCAGAGGAGTTCTGTTGAAGTTAGGTCAGGCGAGTGTGGGGGCCATTCAATGTTATCAGTTCCTTAATCCTCCAGGAACTGCCTGCATACTCTCGCCACATGAGGCCGGGCATTGTCGTGCACCGGGAGGAACCCAGGACCCACTCCACCAGCGTAGGGTCTGACAATGTTCAAGAATTTCATCCCAATACCTAACGGCAGTCAGGGTGCCATTGTCTAGCCTGTAGAGGTCTCTGTGTCCCTCCATGGATATGGCTCCCCAGACCATCACTGACCCACCACCAAAACGGTCATGCTGAACCATGTTACAGTCAGCATAACGTTCTACACGGCTTCTCCATACCCTTTCACGTCTGTCACATGTGCTCAGGGTGAACTTGCTCTCATCTCTGAAAAGCACAGGGCACCAGTTCTGGTGTTTAATGGCAAATGCCAATCAAGCTCTCTAGTGCTGGGCAGTGAGCACAGGGCCCATTAGAGGACGTCGGGCCCTCAGGCCACCCTCTGTTTCTGATTGTTTGGTCAGACATTCACACCAGTGGCCTGCTGGAGGTAATTTTGTAGGGCTCTGGCAGTGCTCATTCTGTTCCTCCTTGCACCAAGGAGCAGATACCGGTCCTGCTGATGGGTTAAGGGTTAAGGACCTTCTACGGCTCTCCTGGAGTAACTGCCTGTCTCCTGGAATCTCCTCCATGCTTTTGAGACTGTGCTGGGAGACACAGCAAACCTTCTGGCAATGGCATGTATTGATGTGTCATCCTGGAGGAGTTGGACTGCCTGTGCAACCTCTGTAGGATCCAGGTTTTGCTTCATCGTACCATAGTGGCACTGACTCTAGCCAAATGCAAAACTAGTGAAAAAACAGCCAGAAAAGATGAGTAGGGAAAAAATATCAGTGGCCTCAACCTGTAAAACCATTCCTGTTTTGGGGGTCGTCTCATTGTTGCCCATCTAGTGCACCTGTTCTTGATTTCATTAACACCAAGGCAGCTGAAACTGAATAACAACCCCCTCTACTACTTAACTGACCAGATCAATATCCCAGGAGTTTAATTGACTTGATATACCCTGATTAAAAAGTGATCCTTTAATTTCTTTGAGCAGTGTATAACAAGGCAAATCCTTTTTAGTTTTGAAAAGAGCGCAGAGAGATTAGAACACCGGTTTGTATTGCTGTCTGTGCCCCCAATGAGAAGATTCACCCTCTCTATTTATCCTGTTTATTATTGTCATTGAAAGTAAAAGAAAACCCCAAATTTTGGGTTGGCCCCAGAAAAGTAACAGAGGGGAAATCTTTTGATGGGGACACTAGTTCTGATGATCTGGGGGTCCCCAAGGAATTCCCTTATTGTGCAGAAATGTTATCTCACTTTCTTTCTGTTTGGCTATGGAACAGGAAGTGAAGGGAAATCTCTGCAATGGGGGACACATTCTAAAGGATTGACTTTAACCACTTCAGGAAGATTTTACCCCCTTCCTGACAGGCCAATTTTTGCTAAACTTCACAGTGCTACTTTAACTGTAATTGCGCGGTCATGGTACACTGTACCCGAATAAAAGTTTTTTTCAGAATTTTTTTCTCAATATAAACAAAAGACTGACATTTTTTTTACTGCCATAAAATATATCGAATAATAATTTTTTAAAAAAAAAAAATTTTTTAGAAATTGTGGCCAAAATGTATTCTGCTACGTCTTTGATTTAAAAAAAAAAAAAAAAAAAAAAAAAACCCAATAAGTGTATATTGATTGGTTGCACGTACTGGAAATTTTTTTTTTATACTACTAATGGAGGTGATCAGCGACTTATAATTCAGTGATAATGCTATACACTGTCACTGTACTAATGACACTGGCTAGGAAGGGGTTCACATCTAGGGTGATCAAGGGGTTAAATGTGTGCCTAACTGTGTAATTTATGTACAGTGTGCTGCTTTTATTGAGAGATCTATCAGTTTCTCATCCCTGCAAAGCATCAAACTGACAGATCACTTCCTCTGTACAGAGTCCTGTGCTGTCAACACAGAGCTCTGGGTTTTGATTGTACTCCACTGATCAGCAGGTCCCAGCTGTGAATCCTTGATCTGGGACTGCTGTAATGATGCAGAGTGGCGCTATAATCGTGTGATGAAGATCTGACCAGCTTGTGTTTGTGATTTTTTTTTGGTTCTTTCCTGAGCAGGCAGCAGAAGCTTTCCTGGTGCGACTCTTCGAAGACTCTTACCTTTGCTGTCTGCACGCCAAAAGGGTCACCCTCTTTGTTCAGGATATGCAACTTGCTCGGCGGATTCGAGGGACACAGGAAGGACTGGGATAATGGCACTTTTCTTACCTAAAAGCCTTCAAAGTCACCCATTTTACATTTGGAATTTATGGATTAAAGTAGGTTTCTACCTTACCCTGTCTCGTATGCTATGAACTTAACCAAGCCAGGGTCCTGATCTCTGAAGCAATACAGCATGGAACTCCTTCATTTTACCCATTGGTGACATATGAGCCGCACACCAATTATTACTTCTGTACAGCCTATGGCTACCTTTTTATTGTATTGAGGTTTTCAAATGCTGGACAGTTTGGCTTGCTCTTGGCCTACAGAACTTGTGGGCTGCTGCCTGGATTTAGCCAGTGCTTGGGGGTGGGGGGGGATTTATTCACAACAGTATGTGGCTCATTCCACTGCACTTAGGGCCATTTTAATTTCTGTCTCTGGCTGTCATTGAATTTGTATAAACTTTTTCTACGTTTTTACATATGTTTTTTTGTTCTTTTAATACTTCATGATTTTTGATGGTGTTTAAAAAGATTTTCTTTCAGGGCAAAGTGAGAGAATCTCAAAAAAAAAAAAAAAAAAAATACACCAACCTACCTCCCCCAGCGTGCCTTCCTGCCACTCCAGTGAGCCAGCATGCACCAAATTGTCGTTAGAAAAATTCCCACATATTACAACTGGTGTGGTGATGTCACTCCCCCGGTCATGTGACATTGTTTGGGCCTAGCAAATGGCTGCTAGATCCGCATACTGTCACATAGAAAGAGGTCACTTGCTCCTCCCTATACCAGGAAGCAAAGGGTTTTATCACTGGCTGCAACTGAGGAAGGAGTGTAGGCAATTTAAGTAATGGCAGAGGACTCTGTACAAATACTGCCACATTTTTTTATTTTTTGTGTCTCTTTTTAAAGCCCAACTCTAGGAATAAAAACAAATATCTTTGCAGAGGATCCCTCCATTGTACTTTTAAGGGTTAAATGTCCATTAACTCTAGGGATGAGAATAACCCTTTCTAATACTTTTACTCTCAGTGATGGGACTGGGAGCAGACCTCGAATTCGGAGTTGCCACCACAACAGTAATAGATACTAAATCTTCCAAAGGGAACACTAGTTTTGGTAACAACTGTCTAATGGCCAGACGTGGCCTAGGAGTGTTAAAATCAGGAGGTTGAGCTGCAGTTTAAGCACCCACCTAAACAGGGGCATGCAGCTACTCAGCGCTATACACTGAAGCATGGCACCATCGATCATGACCCTTTTAACTGCAATGTGTGCGGTTGCAACACAGTGGGTCACCATTTTTAGGGCAAAACAGGCAGTAAGGAATATCGCCTCCCTAGGTGGGGAGTAGTGATGAGCTGATGGTTTGATCCAAACCTTGCATTAGACTGAACTTTGGGTGTTCAGACAAACTCCTGAACTTTTGCTCGCTTGACTACCTGTTCAGCAGGAACCAAAAATCCTATATAGAAGCAGTATTTCTATCACTTCTATATATGACAGCTTTCCAGTGTCACTGGTTCCTAAGGAATTCGTGCCCCCTAGGAACCACTGACGTCACTGGAAATCACCGCCACTTAAGCAAAGGGGTGCGGATGGCAGTGACATCATAGCACCGCCTCTTTCCCTTATCTATCTGATGACAGCTTGGGAAGTGGTACCATGTGGGATCAGTTGCGTGCGCTGGATCATCTGTGGGTTGACAATGGATTTTCAGTGAGGGACTTTTTGGGGAGTTTTTTTTATCTGTTTTTTAATAAAGGACTTGAGAAATGTTTTGGGTGTCTTTATTCCAGATTAAAATAATTCCTTTTTCTTTATTCCTTCTTCACTAATGAGTACACATACATGTTATGTAAAGGATTTAGCATCAATCATTTTTCACTTTAAAAGGATAAGTTCACCTTTTTGGAAAAATATAATAAATGCACTTTTTTTTTTTTTTGCAGGTAAAAAAAAAATGTGCATTTATTTTTGTATGCAGGAGCCTGGAAAGCAGCAGATTGCTGATGCCATGCAGGTCTCCTGCAGTCCTGTCCGTTTATCTGCTCTGTATGAGCAAGCAGATATGCTGACCGGAAGAATGAATGAACTACCACAGAGCCGTGGTAGTACATTGAGGACTGCAAACCGCCAGCTGCTAAGGCTGTTGGGACTTGTAGTCTCTCATTCATGAGATGACTGTGAAATTATTAATTAACTGTGAGTTATGAGGTTGGGCTTTTTTCAAATTTGACAGCTAGCGAAGGGGGAGAAGATCCCCTCGCTAGCTGTCAAAGTGGGGAGGGGGGCCTGGTCTGAATGTAACAAGTTATATGTTACACCCTCAAAATGGGTGTAACATGTTATGACGTCCTCATGTATACTGGATGTTTTTACAGCAGCTGCTTTTGGCGGGTTTTTTTTTTTTGTTTTGTTTTTTTGCAACAGCCTGTAAACTCCCCAGTATGTTATCCTGTGTCTATGCACACAGACTGTAATCGATGTTTTTTTTGGCAGGGGTGTTTTTTTTTGGGCTGAAAAAAAAAACCCAGGACTAGTGGGTTTCTATAGTGTTTTTTTAAACTGTAAAAACACTCTAATTCTGAAAAATGCTGTAAATCAGCGTTTTTGGACCTTTTTTTTTTTTAACAAAAACAACCTCTAAAAAACACAGCTAATATGAAAACACTGAATCTCACGGTTTTAACGTGACTTTGCACAGCTAATGTAACTGGCATTATTAAATCGTCTAGTGTGCATGGAGCCTAAAGGTGAACTTATCCTTTTTAAAGAGGAGCTCCGGTCTCTTGTGTAAAAATTAAGACTGCAACGAAAGATTATTTTCATACTCCAAGTATTTCAATTAGTTGGATAAAAAAAAACCTCAAAAAAAAGTGTGGTGTATAATTTAGATAATATGTAAAGTTTTTACAGAAAAGACAAGTTGTATATTTGCATGCAGTGTTAAATGTTCCCTAACCATCGAGCTGGTTATTTACAAACTGTCAAATCCACTCTGAGAATAACAGACAGAAGAGATGTATATATTATTAGAGGCTGAATGCGGTACATATCAAACTTTTTATGCTAAGAAAGGAAAAAAAAATCCAAGATATAAAACTGTTTTGGAGGACAGTGATATAATATTATGCATGATGGATTCCCTTCTCATAGGCAGGTAGCTTGATGGAAGCTGTGTGTCTGCTGTCACATATGATGACCATACTCTAATTAATTTTTCATCTGAAAATGTTTGTTTTAACTGCCTCCTGCCTGCCGTATTGACAAATGATGGACGGGTGGGAGCTCTCCTGTTCTGGGAGGATGTCATATGACATCCGCCTACTCTAGCTGTGCATTCATGCCCCTGGGGCTGGGCAGTGCTGTGATCAGTGGTACGCTATGTGCCTCCCTAGGACAGGATCTCTGATCACAGTGAAGACCGGATGACTTGGGTTCTTTACCATGTGATCACCTATCCAATCGCAGCTGATTACATGTAAACAGGAAATGCCTGTTATTGGCCCATAAGCTGCAGTCTTCAGAGGAAACCTCTACACTTCTCATCAGTGCCCATAAGTGATGCCTCTCAGTGTCCATCAATATTGCCTGTCAGTGCATCCTCATCAGTGCCCATCATTACCGTCGATCAATGCTGCCTCATCAGCAAAGGAGAACGTTTCTTATTTAAATAAATTTTATAACAGAAACTAAAACTTTTTTTTTTTTTTAATTTTCTGCATTTGTTGGTTTGTTTAGCAAAAATTAAAAAAATACAGTGGTGATTAAATACCACTAAAAGCTTAATTTGTGTAAAAAAAAAAGATAAACGCTTTCATATTGGTACAGTGTTGTGAGACCGTGCAGTAGTCATTCAAAGTGCGACAGCACTGAAAGCTGAACATTGGCCTGGGCAGGACGTTGGTGAAAGTGCCCAGCAGGCAAGTGGTTAAGAACGTTTGTTCAGATTTCTAATCATTAGTGAGGTCAAATCAGCATTTGTTTTCTACCACATTGACAGGAAAATTCGAAGGTGCAGAATAGAAAACTCAAACCATTTTTTTTTTTGAACAGTGTATATGGTTTTCACCTCATTCATTTTAAAATTGAATGTTAAAAGCAAGGGAAATTATGAACAACGTTCATCCATTTCATTAAATGTACAACAAATTTTAATATGAATATTCTTGTCTAAAAATCAATGTGTATGGTCAGTGTAAGACAGCATGCTTTTTTTTTTTTTTCTGGGCACCTGTCATGATGGGGTTAACAATAAATAATAGCCCTTTATAATACAAAAACAGCAAATAGTCACAACTGGAAGAGCTTAATTTATACTGTGAAACAGTGAAAGTAATAATATAACTTATCGTGTACACACACACATATTGAACATGTCACCATTTTTCTCAGTAAATATATTTCTAAAGGTGCTATTGACATGAATTTTTCACCACATATCGGTAATACCGCATGAAATCCATACCTACAAAGAAACCAAACCAAATAAGTTCATAAATGAAGTTATGTGTAATAAAATGGAATAACACAGAAAAAGTATTGAACACGCTAACTGAAATTTATTTAATACTTGGTACAAAATCCTTTCTTGGTAATGACAGCTTCAAGCTGCCTCCTGTATGAAGAAACTAGTCGCATGCATTGCGCAGGTGTGATTTTGGCCCATTCTACGAAAGTATAACAGTTCTGTTTGTGTAGTGCAACTCTAATGTGAATTTGCATTTTCTGGCACTCAAGCAGCATCAAAGTCACATTAAAGTAGTCTAGGAACCTTTGTGTCCAAAGTCGCATGTTGGGGTTAAGGGCTTGCACTACTTTGATGCTACTTTTGATGTTACTTGAGTGCTAGAGAGTGTAAAAGCATCAAAGCTGAACTACATGAACAGAACTGTTATACTTTCCTATTCGCAAAAAAAAAAAAAAAAAAAAAAAGAAATTGCACCCATCCAAAGTGGCATCCCAGTCAATGCTTTCCTATTAGCAAAAAAAACCTTGCACCCATCCAAAGTGGCATCCAAGCCAATGCTTTCCTATTAGCAAAA